ACGATTGTGAATTACATAAGGCAAGGTTCTTCTATAGCTTTTTTTAGCTGCAATTTATTTTTTGTCGGATTTAACGTAAATTTACTACGCGAATAGTTGTTTTCTTGCATATCGATTCGTTGTAGCATTATGTAGTAGAAAAGGAAGTCTACGGGTGTCTCGAGAGATGGCACCACGTTTGCCATTTCTGAACAACGCAACAAGCCTCGAGAAACAAACAGCTCGTTAATATAAAAGCTGGCATAGGCTGATAAAAAGAGAGGTAGTTGCGTGACGCGCGAATACCTTAGCGTTATATAAATAGAATTTCGTATAGAAAATATCTAATACTGAATTTGCGTGTATACCAAATTCTGCAAATGTAATACGTGTTCGGTCGAAGTGATTCTCGGCGTTGCGGAACAACAGAAATTATAAGAATGTACAGGGTGTCCGGCTACGGGTGGGCATAAGGGGTGGTAGCTGAGGTCAACTTTTTCATTTACCAAAATGTTGATAGAAACTTAGTTCTTAAATTATTAACGAAAAATTGAAGTGCAGCGATTAGCTTTTTCCCCGTTAACATAATCAGCGTGACCCCCTCGATTCGCTTTTCTCTCTCTTCCTAGCATGAAACATTGTTTTTCAAGGAATTATTGCGTCACGGCTAGTATCTTGCAATTCAACGAATTTGTCCGATACTCGGGGAAAGGAAAATTGAAAATCGTTCAAGTTATTTTTGTATAATTGCTCATGTGATAGTAAAATCAGTCCCTATAAAAACAATGTTTCATACTGAGAAGGGAGAGAAAGATAAATTGGGTGACGTTAGAATAAAACGTTCGAAGCGCAACGTTAACGGGAAAAAAACAATAGGTGAGTCTAATTTCAATTATTTCTACATGTTTTCATTTAAAGTAGACAGGTGTTAATCAATTTGTTAATTATTAGATCTACGCACACCCTGTATGTACATTCGTAAGATGCTACGTAATATCGTTACTTAAAGTTGCAGTCGAGTTAATTGAATTTTAAGGGAAAAGTAAGAAATGCGCGCGCAATGCACGTGTAACCTAAAATGCAAATGTTAACGCAATAAATGTATCGTTTCGATGTATTTCATGGAAAAGAAAAAAACGAGACGAATATCATAAGAATTGTAAATGCGACAAACACTTCGAGCATCGTCATTTTTGCCACGTTACAAAGTAAACGAGCATGTTAGATCAGCTTGCGGTACGTGATCTTCGCTTTTTCTTACGCTTAAACGTCTCTTTTTGCTCGCGTCTATTTTCATGCAAATTGTACAGAGTTTACGCGCGAATCGCCTGCGATAAAGTTTCATCCTAAAGATGCTGACGATATTTCTTTTTAGCAGTGGCCATTGTCTCGACAGCGATTGCTAGTTATTGGAAATCTGGAAGTCAAATTATGGGAGCAAAAAAGTTGAATCTAGCGACTAATGCCGGACGATTAATGTTACGGGCAAAAAAATAAAACGTCCTATTAATATTAATATTTGAATATTTGTTAAAAGTTTGAAAGTCGGATGTTAAAACGATCGATCGTTACGCTGTTTATGCACGAAATATGATAAGCCAGATATCTGATAGAGGTATATTAAAGATAATTTAATTTATTCGGTTTCTGTGAAAGTCTTTCGACTCGTCTCTGCTTCGTTTCGATCAACAGCTGTTAACCGATTGTTGACGGAGTCTGCATAATTTACCTACTTTCTCTAACGTTCCCAAAAATTCACAATATCTGTCTCTATTTCGGAATCTCGGGTGTGGATAATTGAATAAATAATTAAGCGATGTTTGAATAATTAATTGTAACCTGATTACGCGATTATGGTAATGTAACACGCGACTGGCGATCGAACGCGTGGCCGTATATGGTCTTTTTTTTCTTCCACACCCTCGCCTTTTGGATCGTTCGAATCTTCTGGAGGTTGTTAATGGCTGTGAAATATTCATTTGATCTATGAATGGAATCGCGACGAGGGCGAAGTAGTACAAGGCTACGAACCGAAGAACCTCGACTAAGGGAAAACCCCCTGTCTCGTTGGCTCGCGCGATTATCGATGTATCGACGAAACAGCGTTCGAACAGTCTTCCTGGGATTTACGTAACAGCAGCAGCCGGACTGACCGCTTTCACGTTTCCGTCGTGCCTTCGGCCGCATTTAGCGACCCGGTTCGATAAGTCCCGTGGTGGTTTCTCAAGTCTGGGTCCGTCCTTCTTTCCCGGGACGGCCGTTTCAGGGTTAAATCGTTCGATCTGCTTGCTCAATCTTCACCCGAACACGATTCGTCCATCGAACGATCGTCGTCTTTACTATTTTATTCGTATTCATGTCAAATTCCGATAGTTTTCGACACTTAGACACTTAGAAAGGGCTATTTTTGTTCTTCTTTTTTGCCAACGAAAGTCTCGTAATTAGCGCGCATCGAAAATGGGATTTTAAAACGCTTTGAAAATAGTTATCGCTGAGAACTCGATATTCGACGCGTTAATTTTCCTGCGCCGGTGCGATCGCATCGAAAAAGTGAAAGCGATTCGCCGTTTTTCGATCTTGAGGCCATTCAGCTCGAGAGTACACCTGTTTCCACTCTCGTCGTCGGGTGAATTGACCGCATTGACAAAAAATTATTTTCGACCACTATAGTTGATTCGAAGCAATATTTTCCGTAGACTGAAAATTTTGCATCGTCACGACGAACGAGCAGAATGTGCTCCGCGATTAAAAACAGCTTTTAAAAATGTCGTTTAGTCTGACTCTTTTATTTCTGAAAGGATATTTGTCAGGGATCAATAGTCTTGTCAAGACCATTGAAGTTAACCGCATTTTTTGACACGATCACAAAAGCTATTTGTAACAACTTCGGACATATCAGCGAGTAACGAACTCTACAGAACTTTTGTCGCGCGAAATAATTAATAAAATTTGTTACGGACAAGAGACGTTCAATCCGCGACCGATATCGGTATCATCGCTCGACATCTATTTGATATGCAGTACTCGTTTAACGCGAACGAATCTTGTTCTTATTGTCGTTGGGTCAATCGAGGATGGAGGGGAAGGTCTCTGCAAGGTCTCAGTAGCTAGTGTCAGCCACCTTCGTGGGCTTCTTCGGTTAAAAGCGAAAGTCTCCTTCGGTGCACGTGCACTCTCCAGTCTGTTGCCCCGAATTTCATATTTTCAAGGAGACCGAATTTCCACGCCAACCGAATTTTCCTGCACGATTTCTACCTTTGAGTATTCATCAAATTTATGTACGAAAAGAAAATTGGCAGCCGGATTTCGGTCAAATAGACGTCGTCTTAAACTTCATTTTCTCCGATAGTCAAAATAATGATAATTCATGGACATTTTTGAAAAAGATGCATGATTTCTTGTTATTTAATCGGGTTTACATTACGTCAGGTAATGTAGTCGGATGTTACGCAATGTCGGGGAAAGTGCAGACCGTCTTGACCACTGTTATGCTCGTTATTTCTTCGGCTGAAATGAAATTGTTCGTCGATCATCGGTAAAGATCGATAAAGGATAATTAAATCGTTGTTTAACGCTGTTAGCCTTTTATTTCGAAAACAGGTTCTTGATCGTATAATAGATCCGATAAATACTAGATAAATAATTTATCTTTCTGATTAGGGTGCTGTTAAGAATAATTTGCGTCTCCCTATTGCAATTGCAATTGCAATTACTTATTTATGAAAATGAAGCGAGAAGTAGGCGGAAGGTTTGAATTTTTATACAGATTTTCCTTTGACATTTATGTAACGCATCGACGCAGATTTCCGTACAACTGATCGCAAAGCAACGAATCAATTGGAACGGTTTCGTTCTCCTTTCTTTTACTCGTTTTTCATTAAATTCCTTGTCGGGTTAATACACGTGACATAAGTTTCGTTTTCACGAGACATTCGTTGAAGAAAATTCGAATTTCTGTGGCATTGAAGCATTGTCGGAGCGAAAACGAGGAAGAAATCTAAATGTCGGAGCAAATATTGTGTTAGCTCGTGACGATGTTGTGGCAAAGTGCTTAGAATATGTTCAATTAATTAGCAAGTCTGTTGGTAAAGCTCGAGTCATCATAAAAATATTTCGATCGATTAATTGAACATCGACAATGAAAGCTCGATAAGAAGCCTACGGTTATCATCGATACTTGAATCAACCGCTTTCGATACGAGATTTAAACGTTGTACGGAGATTAAGAAACTTGTACCCCAAGCGTGAAGTCGCTAATTGTATGTTCAAGTATCGATAACCGAAGTTTCATAAAAACACAAATTTCTTAAAAGATTTTCGGGCCGAGATTACCATTGCCTTTTCTGTCCATTTCTTCTCGAAACGCACGGTGATTTTTCATCAATGGTTTAACATAAAATAGACATAAAATTATTTAAATGCGAAACATGATAAAACGATCACGAAGATTTTGCAAGTATAATAACTGCCGGACTCGTGTCTGATTATATGTGTGTCTTCGTTCGTTACGTGGCTCGGACGTTTCCGTATCTTTAACGGCCTTCTTATTTTGCATGAAAAATTGTTCCTGATCCACTCGCATCCGTGGTATTTCGTTTCAGTAATTGCTCCGGAAGCTTGCTAGCTTCTCAAATGTTTAATGACGAGCCTCCTTCCTGAACAAAACACATCTTTTTATTTCTCATCGAAAGGAATGTCTCGTCCACGATGAGTTATTATAATTTTCAATTATAATATTCTGTATAAGTCGTCTTTAATGTACGTCTATCACGGTTAGACGATCGGTCGCGTTTTATTAGCAGCGACGACGCTGGAATAGCGATTGTTAATTAACGCGGCGAACACCGTGGGTGTCACCTATGACCGATACTACACAAATTTCATACTGTAAATCCCAGCTTCTCCATGCCCTCGACTTCTTCTACATCCTAAACTTTCTCTGGACCTTCAACTAAGCTGCAACTATTATCGAATGAATTTTCTCGAAAATAGAATTCGCAACTTCGCGACGGTCTGAGACTCGCGAAGAGAAGATCCGGGGGAACGATGTAAAGGTAAAAATCGAGCAAGCGAACGAAGAAAGGGTCGAACGTTGAAAAGAGGTGGATAGTTGAGCTCGGAACGAAAACCCGTGTTGGAAGGACAACAGGTGGAGGGAAGGTGTTCTCGTTGGATCGAAGAAAGAAAGAAAGGTAGTCGATCGAACGAGGACGAAATGACTGGTTGACTGGAAGAGTGGAGGCACAGAGCGAGAAGGAACACCGTCGGACCAGCTCGACTCTGCACGCTTCCGACCGCTTCAGTCTCGCGTCAGGACTCGAAAGTCGCGGAGGACCGGACGACGATCTTGCCAGGAAAGCGGCCTCCTCTTCAGCCGATCGTGTCCTCGCGAGGGTCGAAATTCTCCACGATCGATCGACAACCACGAGTCTGTGTCAGAAATTGTGCGCTCTTCGCGTTTACTCGGCTTTTCTCTCTATTGTGTTTGTGTGCTGGTGACCATTTATCTTCGTGATCGCACGGGTCCGTAATCGCTTTCGATTAAATCGGTACATCGATGATACCGGTCGATCCTGGCACCTCGATGACATCAATGTCCAGCCAGGATTACACTTAGAGGATTAAAGTGGAAATACGAAGAGGAACAATCGAAGGTACCTGGACGACAAAGTGTTTTATTGGCCAATTTCGAATGTGGTGTCTATTGGTATATTCGTATCAATATTTTTTATCTTACCGTGAAAATATTAGGACACCGATTACCCGTACTCTGTCATAAAATTAACAAAAATCGTGCTGATCGGTGTCGCTCATATTACCAAGAAAGATTCGTAAAATTGCACAGGTTCTATGACAGTGATCGAAAATGCAAGTTATTGATTTTCCAAGATTGGATCGAACTTATTCGTTACTGTTTGAAGTCGAAAGATCCCACGGAGAAAAAATTATTGTAAAAAACAATGAAACTTGCTCCTTTTTTCCGCGACTTCTCTGATCCGCAGTCACAGCAAGCTGTCTAGATCGTTCGGCGAAAAAAGAACGAGTCCGATCGCGTAAGGTGACCATTAGTCGAACGTCCGGTGCCCATTCGCTTCCGTTGAGAAAAGTGAGAAACCGTGGACGTTACCAAAGCCGGATTCGCCGCAGGAAATTCGAAAGTGACGATGGCAAAATCGCGATCTTAATCGGTCTATTTCTGTTTCCGAATAGAATCATGGAATCGATCGATTTTTCAAATGTATCGAATCGACGGAGTCAGTCGTAGAAGAGATCAGTCATCGATCCTGAGACGCACGCGTGAAAAATCGCGTCAGATATCTTCGAAAAGTTTCTGCGTATTAAGGTAGTAGAGTCGACCGAGTGTTTACGCATTCGCGTAATACCTTTAATCGAAAGATCGAGCGTAGCCCGCGAGAAATTATGCAATTGACTGTTGTTTTTACCATCGAGAATATGCTTATAACATTATCTGCATTTCCACAACTAACAGAATCCTTTATAATTATCAACTAAAACACAGAACTAGTATTTACTGGCCGATCTGCATCGCTAATATGAAATTATATGTAGATCAAGAATCACGACGATCGCTGGGTCACGTCAGTTAATTGCTCTCGCGCAATCAGATTAACACAGATGTATGGTCAATGGATCCAAAGGCGTTTTGGTGCGGTTCACGATGATTCAGCTGTTTCTTACGAACGGCAAAATAGAAAGCGACATATGTTCGTGTTTATACGCGTATGTATTAGAGGAGTTTCAGCATTTTGACAATCCTGGAATGTGAAATCGAACGCGTTCTCGGACTGCTCCGCGTATTTTTACGGTCTTGTTTCCTGCGAACGGCAACCCTGCACGAAAGTTTACCAGGGTGAATGAAAGACCGGATTAATTATTTCCTCCGTGATCTTCGATTAATATTTATAAGCGTAAAAGCGCAGTTAAGCGCTTCTTTTCTACGATTACAAATACCGATTTTTAAATAGTCATTTATCGAAAACGTTAGTCGATATCGCAAACGCGGTTCTGCTTCTCGCTGATGCTTGTAAAATCTCGTGTAATTCAAACGGGTGCAACAACGCGAATCTAGCTGTTGGTCAGATAAAATCTCGAAAAGGTTAATTATCGTTTCCTCGGTGTATGAAGGTGCGTGTCAGCGAAACAGTTTCGCTCAGAAATCATGGTAAACTTTCTCGACGATACAAAGGAAAACGCGAGCCACGATGAGCCGACCGTGGATTAACAATCGCCGCTAATCTCGTGCGATTCTCTCTCGGACGAAAGTGAAAACTCGCTTCCATTGTCGTCCATCGTTCATGATTATCCTCCTGAATATTCAGTTTTTGGATCACGAGTTATTACGTTCATGATCGTATGCTTCACTATCAATTTCACTACTGTAAACGCATGGATATTGTATACCGTAATTATGTTTTCAGGCTTGAGAGTCTTTATTCGTCAGATAAGATGTCAGGATTAAGATCGGAAGCTCGAAGTTTGAAAAAGTTGGAAACGTATTTTGGCACTGATTTTGTAAGCAGCAGCGAATCGTACTCGAAACGAGTTAGGATCGTAGACTTCGATTTGGAGGAAACGGAAAAGCGCGAAGCTCGTTCGCGTCGAGATTCCTCGAAGAAGGAATTTCGCGCAACGATCGATGCAACGATTAGATTCGCGATCCGTAACGATTCTAGAAAGTAAAACTCTTCGTGACCAAGCGAACCAAACCGAAGTAACCGGTGCGGCACGGCGTGGCGCGGTCAACTCGCGAGTAAAAGTCAATGATAGTCCGTTCGAAAATCCCGGAGCGAGAAACGGCTATCGGAGAAGGCCGACCTCGTTGCTTTTCGGCCCACGTTCACCGTCCTGAGTCCACTCGGTCGTCCGAGCGCGTGTTTCTTCGTTGTGTAATTTCGTGTTATCGTAAAACGTAATCCGTGCCCGATGAAAAACCAAACCTGTTACGTAATCGCGTAATTTTACGAGGAATCGGTAAATTGTGTAACGAGAAACGAAAAGATCAGCGAGTCGAGACGGGACCATTTGTTTTTCCGACCAACTCTTTCGGCCATGGGGGTATCGATGTCACGTACGATTCGACGTTAAGACGATTTACCGTTAAGGAAGCACGGCGAGCGACGTGACCATGAGAAAATATCTTTGGGATGTAGAGATGCAAATTAAGAGGAGTCGCAATATCTTGGTTAACACAAGAATTCGCAAATTTTTAAAAGAATTTCAAGGTGAACGAGAAATTGTTTAAAATACGCGGTAAAAAGTCATTTACACGAGCGAAGCTTATTTTTATCCGCGTAGAATTTGAAGAGCAGAGGGTTAATAGTTGAGTGGTTGTTTCGATATCACGATCAATGACGACAGTGCAATTGCATATCGAGCAAACAAAGAGTATCGCGTTAGGAGCGTATTATCTAAGACGATGAAAACACGCGCGTCGATGAGGCTCGCGTACGCGAATTGAATCGCGATTACCTCGATGATTTTCATATCGTGGCGAACGACGTACGCGCACGTACGTCCCATATATCGTCCAGCCTTGAAAAACTTGGATGGTCGGCTGATCGACCGTCATAATACAGCCGACCCGTTGGCGAACAGCAACCCCCGTTGCCAACGACACGGATACCTTGCTGATAAGCCACGGATGAAGCCTTCACCTTGACTTCATTTCCATTCGAAGTGTACGAATGGTCGACGTACATTTCGAGCGTGACATCCATCGCAATCTCGCGACGACGTTTCGTCGCGGAGCGTCGTTAAATCTGACCTTCGTAGCTTCTTTCGTCTTTTCGTAACCGTCTTTTCTTTCCACCGGGCTCGATTTTCGTCTTACGTAACGATTTCGTGCTGTTCGATCGGGAATGGAATCGCTATCGACCGAGGGAGAGAATAAAACTCACTTTCTGGACCGATCTTGCGGAGTCCGATTAAAAACTTGATTTTTTTTATCTTCATACGAATCTCGTTTATCTTCTGCCAACGCTGAGCTGCTTGACAACCCGTGCATCGGACAAACTAGTTTTTGCATCGGTTTTTTAAACTGGCGTGACACGCACAACGATGATTTTGCATTTGTCCCGTATCGATAAACGCGGTGGACGATGCCGTTGTTTGGATCACGGCAAGCTTTGAGACGTACTTTGACCCTGGCCATCCTCGACTACGGCCTTCGACCATTGCTCGTTCAATCGAGGAGAGACAAACGTTGTCTACGTCATTTGTTCCGAATGACGCGCGAAAACAACTTGACGCGCGAGTTCCATGGCGGTCACCGTTCACGTAACCAAGATCTTCCTTTAGGGTGGACCGATTTTACTAGCGATGTCAATGCCTCGCGTCGGGCGTAGCTAAAGCGGTCTTTCAGAATTCAACTCTTTAAGAATTGGAAATTTTCTAAACGTTTGATCTCTAACTATGTAGTTACGCGAATGAAAGTTTAGTTACGTAAGTGAAGAATTAAAGGTAGCGAATCGAAAGTGCAGGGATAATAAAGGGGAGAAAGAATCGAGGGAGACGGTAGCGTTTGCTGATTCAACTGTCGATGAAAGGTAATCAATTAATAAATCATGTTTTATCGCGAAACAATCTACCAATCGGTAGGTACAATAGCGAGTCGGGTCTCGATTATGGGAACAGTTGAACTTTAGAACGTGACGACTTGTCGATCAGCCTGATTATGATTCATGTAGCTCGTAACAATTCGTAATAATCCTTGAGATGATCTTGTTCAGAGCTCCTGTCATTTTTAAGTATGCACTATCGAATCTGTCAACGGTGATAACAAACACGGCATAACGCGTGATTCCCTGAGGATTATTAATATTTTAATTTCTCGTTTAACCTTGTTAATGCATTATTAACAATATTACGAGATAGAGATACGCGAAAAGTTAAGGGAAATTGTTTTAGAAAAAATCGAGAGAGAAAGTACAACACAGATCTCGAACAAGCACAAGTAAGAGTGGAATTTTATTTCGATAATTAATCGCGAGGGAAAGAAATAAATGTAGAAATTACGATCGTTGCTGCATCGCGGGACACAACGACGGCATAACCGTTCCACGATGACGACTTTTAACTCGCTTCTCCAGCAACCGGCTGACACACTTGTTAAAACTGCTGGATTAAGCATTTCTTTTCAACGTTCGGTTGATTGTGAGTGGCATTCTCTTTAAGGAAAGTCGACCGGATCACTTTATTGTGCAAATTGTCCCACAAATGGAATTAAAATCCGTTCTCGACTAGCAATTTTTCACGAATAAGATGTAGTAGATTCTTGTGTAATTTGATCGGAACGTAATCGAAATTAAGAGTACTTCACCGAAATCCGGATTTGTAAAACGCGAATTAAACGGTACGTTAAACACTCGCGAACCATCGACGAGTTCAGACAGTCCTTGTGTCTCTAAGGCTTTGTACTCGCAACGTCCGAAGCTAACACTGTTATTATTCGAATGCAGCCCACCAACGATGCCAGTCAATTATCGATACATCGTTAAAATTGCCAATATGCCTTTGCAAAGACAGCAAGACCCATAGTTACAGAGCCTGTAAACGTGTTTAGAGCGAACGTTGTGTGCTCGAACGAAAAACAGATAACAAAAGAAGTCTTTAAATTTTAAATAAAGAGAGGGACATGAAAAGAAATGTAAGATTTCCAATTATTATCCGAAAAATTAGGAAAAGTTCGCAAACTCGTAATTAGAGATCTTTCGTATTCACATGAGCTAACGATGAGTAACCGAAATAGAATTTGTAGAAATCGCGGTACCATCAAAGCGGACGCGTTTCGAAACTAGGAAGAATTATTACATTTCGAAGAATTGTGTCTATTTTGGGGTCTTGCTTAATTTACCTGTCTCGTAATTGTTAGTGACTCATCGGACACTCGCCGTTTAGATGTATATTCATTCATTAGGTTCCGGCGCTTTCAAACTAATCTACGTTAATTTAATAGCTGAGATTTGGCGGTCTCTGGAGAATCCTTGTCATAATTAAACATGTATCCTATAAGACCGGAATACGTATTTCTTATTCCTGTACTTACAGTAAATTGAAATGTAAGTAATAGAAAATATCTGCAAGTACGAACAATTTTATTACTCTGTTATATTTACGTTTCTTACATAACTGTCTAGAAAGCGGACGATTCTTAAGATTTGTTGGCCATCCAGTAAATCAATTGAATGCCAGTAAAATGAGACGGTACAAAGCGTTAAGGGTGATAAACCAAGTCGTGAAAGCTTCGATATTATCGTTTGTTAGATTCGAAAGGAAATGAACACCTTTGGAAAGCGCACGGGACAGCGGAAAAACGAACAACGAAGAAACTCGCGCACGTAATCATTTTTTATTTATTAACACTGATTAGATAGCATCGTTGTAACATCGCGCGGTGCATGACGATGTACGATTTCCAATGCAATTATGAAATGACCGGTAATACCATCGCGAACGATGCTGTAACAGAACACCGTTGATTACCAAACACTTTGGACGTTATAATAAACAATAATTAATGAGCCATGTTCTAAGCAAATGGTGTCGCGAGAATCTCGGTACGGGGCAAAGAACGCTCGCTTTCTTTACCGTCGCGATTTATCGAAATTTCTTTGTCAGTTTCACCGCGGATGGAACTTCTCTTTGTCGAAGAAACTCGATATTCTGTTGCAACGTAACATGCTTTTGCGACAGACTTCGATGTGGGATATTAGGTGGCTAGAGAATCGAGAAAAGGTCTTCTTCTGTCGTTGATAGATGCCGAGTTTAACCTTCCACAGCTGCGCCTTATAACTGAACATTGCAAAGGTTTACGGTTAAAAATGAGAAGTTTTACTGTTTGGCAAGAACGATAAATTATTCTTCTTTCTCCGCTAGCAGATACAGCAGTGACATTAAAGCTGGATGTTGCAAGGATATTCGATGGAAAATGAAAAAATGTTACTCGAAAGGAAAGATAATTTTATTCGATAAAGTTGTAAAAAGGAAATAAAAAAAATCGATAACGAAAATTTAATTGTTCGAAGAGAACGATTGTACTTTCTCGTTGAATTGAAGAGTGTATGGACGATCGAATGCAGAAACCGGGAGAAAAGTGAGACGTTTTCCGAGAAAGCGTCGAAGTGACGGGAGGAGCACAGAATCGGGAATTGGAGTGTCTCGACCATGGCCCAGAAAACGAAGACTCACGTGGCCGGGTCTTTCCACATGCGTCCTCGCGGTACGTCGTCCTCTGGAATGTTGACTTGCGTAATTGCCTCGGACTTGCCCGAGCCTGGAACATCTCTCACCTTCGATTTTCGAATACTAAGCTCGATTGCGTGCGATCATCGGACATTGACAAACCCTTCGTTACGATTACGATTTTAAGAAGCTACATAATATGTCTGCTTTGCAAATCTTTTCGAATATTCCGAATGTACAACAAAATGTCTCGTAACATTGACGGGATGCAATTACAAGTTCAAGTTCTAGAAAGTTTTGGTCAAGATTCATGGCATTCGGAAGTTACTTTATTCGAAGGTAATTGAAATTCATCGGTCACGGTCATTAGAGACCACCATGTTTGCTGGAGGATGAGTAAAATACTCGTGTGACGCGACAGTAACATGTGTCGCTTGGAAACGACAGCGAATTAAGTAATTTTTACCGTAGATTAGTTCGAGCTCCTATGTCTGACCGACCAGGTCATTATCTACTTACGTGTCTGACTACGGAACGCCGTTTACCCTCGCTACTGTTCTTCGCGAGGGACTCACCAAAAATGAACGAAGATCTGCTTACGAAGCCGAAGATCAGGAGTTCGATTTTCCACGGTATTCGAATATCTCGTGAATTCTTGCATACCTAAAACGGGTAATCGATAAACTAAATTAAACAACGAAACGATTACACTGTAATAAAATTGCTGAGCACGAGTATAGCTAAAAATAAACGCAATAGTACTCGCGATATTTCAGATCCGTGGATATTTAAAGTCTGGTTAAAGTAAAGAATGTTGGAATATCGGGTGCAAGAAGTTGTAAACTTCTTTCCCCTTTCTATTTAAGAGGCACGTATCCCTGTTTGCATCGAATTCCTAATTCGTTAATTACCTCGTGGTAACTTTGATACTAGTATCGCACAACTTGAAATACTATCTTGATGGTCCGTTGCTTGTCGCGAAGGAAATTACGCGAAACGTAGAGACATCGAGGACTATAATCCGACGATTCACGATAATGGATATAATAGAGTCGTGACGACTCGTCGACGGAATGCACGATAATTTTGCGTAGAGTTGTGCGTATCGCGGCATATATTCCACAAACAAACAACCCGTGATCACATCGAGTTGTTGGCGAGGTAATTTATGGCGTACTAAAAATTATGCCGGGTCAACGATTGCAAGAACAAACAAATTCCCATTCGTCTTGACTATGCGAACTTTTTATTATTATAGTTACCGATTCGAGTCGTACAAAGGTATACTTTGGAAGGAGATAGTCGATTAAGCGGCGGAGAGAGGCTCCTGGAAACCATAGAAACGTCTTCGCAATCGCTGCTTTCTTCTGCTATCTAGCTATTAGTAAAGAGCAAGTTACGAAACGGTTTGTTGGCTTTTCCTCGTTCGCCGTACGATCCGCCGTAATTCAACCGCATGGCAGAATTCGCGGGAAAGCAGACGTTGTTTCCATAATCGATTCGATGAATCGACCTTTGCTACCCGCAGATCCTTATCGGTTTTTGACAAACCGATTTTTTCTACGAATCCTTCCGAGATGAGCGCGTTACGTAACGCTTTGGCAGTCGTACAGCTGATCCGAGGATTTCGCTATTCTTAGCGGTAATAATACGAGATTATTTGGTTAACGCGTGATGCGGTGTATCGATCTACGTGAAAGCTTTTAAGCCCTCGATAGAAATGCTTCTCTTAACTCGGTTAAACTTGTACGGATTCATTTTCCTAAAGCTTCGTCGATCTCGTTTTGCGCATACGAACTTTCTAGAGAAACAGCATGAGCTATCCACGCACGATCTTTCGTTCGCTAAACGGAGTTGCTGAACCAAAATGTCTGTTATTCGCGAGAAATCCGATCGTCGTAAAAGGTAAAAACGAAAGGAGCGGCCTCTTGACAAACATCCCTCGGCGAAAATGCCGAGAAAATCGAGAACTCGAGGAGAAATGTTTGCACGGCCTTGCGATGGTAACAACGGGTTACTTTTCGCCGGTAAACGACATTAATATCCCTGCGCGAGTACGTCGACGCGTTGCCCAATGAACCGACGAGCGCGAGCGAAAAGAAAGCCGCTATCTTACGTAAGTCTCGGCACACGTTCGCTCTTTCTAAACCATGTATACACGATTCGGAATGGTCGAAGTCCGAGACGTTCGCGAATCCATCGCAGGGTTGCTAAATATTTCTCCCGTGATGTTACTTTTAACGTCGAAAACGATAGATCACGTTCTGGCGTAATTTTTCAAGGTGAACAATTTTTCTGTGTTCGAGTTTTCGAGCAAAATTTTTCGAGCGCCAGATGTTTGCTTATTTTACGACACCGAATGAATGAAACACGCATGGCGTGGGATTAAAGTGCACGAATGATTCCATGATTCAGCCGTGATTCAGTGACGAGAGAGCAGCGAGTTTCCTCCACCGTTTGCTCTCGACTGCAATTTACATTTAACCGAATAATTCTCGATTTAATCGCGATGACGACTCCGCGATCTCGATTCAGATTTTCCGGCAATTTTTTTGTCCGTCAATAAGAAAAGTACACAAACTGATCTGTGAACTTCGAGCATAAAATCGTTGAATACATCTTTGGACTTGACGCACTAGGAAGTCGAAATGTACAGAACGTGTCACGTAAAGGCTAACAGTACGACCTTTCATCTACTATGCTTGATTAGTGTGCTCTTACGTCACGACTGCTCCCAACGGAACAGTCGCGCCTTTAACATTCATATTTTTTGTTTCCATCGCATCCAACCGTTTTAATTATTCTCGCGAGCCTGCGGTTACTCGTTTGCCATTAGCTGCTTTGCAAATTTTCCAATTTGACGTGTCTGCGCTCGAACGAAGTTAATAATTTTATGAAACTCGTTTTTGCAGCGACGGGACAGCAGGAGGTGGTCTGTTGAACACGAACTCTCTAGGAAACATGCAGAACACCGGGGACAGTACTTTAGACATGACGATGACGACCAGCACGATGCTGGCGACCCCGGGGTTGAATAACCCTACGTGGAATCGTCAACAGGCGGTCAGCGTCAGACACGCGTTCAAAACCTATGGCAGTAGTAAAAATCCGAACCACGTTATACAGAACCTCAACATGACGGTGGCCAAAGGATCCATGTAAGTACTCGATTGCGATCGACGTTACCTTCTTCTCGAAGAAATAATCGCGTTCTGTTATCGGTTTCATTGTCCTCCGTTGATTCGCGAGAAAAGGAAACACGATCGAAGTGAATTATTTACTTGTTTCCGAATGGAACAAGCTTGCTCGAGAAGGCTGAAAACAAGTAATCCTTGATCGCGCTAATAGCTGTATCTCTGACGTGTTATCGGTGATGAAATCGATTCGGCCTGCCTTCTTTTCAGCGAAATTAAAACCTTTATAAACCGTAAATCTATCGAAGGGATTAAGCTCGAAGCAACTTTCTTAGAAAGTAAATCGAGGGTTAATCGATCGTGACGATCTCTCGTAAATTTCGCTACAGAAACGTTTTCCTGTTATTCGCGAGATGCACCAACGAATTATGAGACCTTCAAATTCGTCGAGTTGTTCATCGATTTTTTTACGATCATTTCTGAAATTAGATACGGTCTTCTGGGAGCTAGCGGATGCGGTAAAACCACCTTGCTCTCTTGCATCGTCGGTCGAAGAAGATTAAATTCTGGCGAGATCTGGGTTCTCGGTGGTAAACCGGGTACCAAAGGGTCCGGAGTGCCTGGAAAGAGGGTTGGTTACATGCCGCAAGAAATAGCCTTGTACGGAGAATTTACGATTCGGGAAACTATGATGTACTTTGGCTGGATATTCGGCATGGACACCTCCGAAATCGCCGAAAGGCTACGATTTCTGTTGCAGTTCTTGGATTTACCTTCTCAGAATCGACTGGTGAAGAATCTCAGGTTGGTCAGGCTTCAAAATGCCTACTTATTTTTTAATCCGATGCTTAACGAATACGCTAAGATTTAATAAATAATTGTAAGAATTCCGGCAATTTCTTGTCGTTCACTAACCGTAGAACCGTTTCTTCGACGATTACAGCGGTGGTCAGCAGCGACGAGTGTCCTTCGCGGTTGCCTTGATGCACGACCCTGAACTCTTGATCCTGGACGAACCCACCGTAGGTGTGGATCCTCTGCTTCGACAAAGGTAAGTCGACGATGTCGAAAGAAATACCACGCGTTTCGACACTGTAGCGTATCAAAACACGCTGTAGCTTTCGATCGTAGCTTGACCTTGCAAGGAACCGTGAAGAAGTTGAAAATTCTTATAAACCAGAACCTGTTCTTCTTAACGAAGAACTCGCATTCGCCCTTCATACCTTCTTTGTCGCGTTTCATTCCAACGTTAAAAACGCTTTCATTGCTAAAGGGTGAAATTTAACGTCGCTCGTTTAATTAGCGAAAGAAGAAAATGAAAGATCAACTTGTTAAGAATTATAAAACTGTCGGTCTCGTTTAAACAAAGAAGTAAAGAGCTTGGCATTGTTATGAAAATTGAACGATAGAATGAAATAGCGCAGAACAGAATAAATATTGAGCGATGGATTATTTTAAGTGAAAGTGGCGTTTGCTCGAGCGCACCGAGTCCCGAGAGAAAAATTCGGAATAAAGGTGATTGAACGACTTGTTAGCTATTTTTGAATCTAAACGAGCTTTTGTTTTCAACGAGCCGTGTAAGAAGAATGTAATGGCTGATCCTCGAGGCGATGGAAGTAATTTGTGACCGTTAGTAATGCTTTGGAATTCTTCCTGAAAGTAGCGGACGGTAAGAAACGCGATACCAACTTGGTGTCTACGTACTTTTCCACTCAATTTTCGCGCACTCGCCACTTTAGCAAATAACTGTAAATTGATTGTACACAAATTGTATACTCTCACTGCTGTTTTTACAATCGTTTCATTTCAAACTATGTGTAGGCTTTGTACGCGGTAATCGTTTCCATATTCTGCCTATGTTCTTGCGAGAATTCTTGAGCGGAAGCAGGTTAATTGTAACGGAAGTTAATCGTTTCAACCGATATTATCGCCAATTCCAATTGTACGATACCGCAATTTGACGCATGACAATCTAATTATACGTAACGAGGATGCTAAATGTTAGTAATGATCGCTTGCTCGCACGAGAAATCCGTTACGGTTGTCGGATTTAGATGAATTATATAAATCGATGATTTTCGCTTAATCGATCGAGGCTTGTCAGTTTTATGACACACGATCAATTTCCGTCGCGATTTGCCTACAGCAATCCTACAACGAAATAATTCCCGATGGTCTTCGCTTTCGAATATGGTCGTTTGGAGGGAGATCGATGGCTTATCATCCTCCAGCAAGGTGGAGCGTGGCAAACGTCGCGTTGTCTTAACCTACTTGAAGCATGCGGTGGCTCGAGGAATTTCGCAACGACGTTCACAGAACATAATGAGCTTCACCGATAATCGAAAATTTCTTTCGATTGTTCAAAGATTTTAAAACTACTTAACGATCTTACTTCGACTTCCTGTTTTATACGCGTACCAACGTTATTCGAAATCGCGTTTTTCCTCCGTCAGACAAACGAATGACAATAAAGAGGAATTCTAATTAACCGTTAGAAAGTTTGCGGCTCGATTATGCTATAATATCCTTCAGCTTTATGATCAACTGTACTTACGAGTACTCGTGTTCCACGCTAGTTTCTGAAATTGAAGTTCCTGCGAATAACGAGAGCCCCGAAGTAAATTCATCGCTTCCGTAATTTGCTCCCCAACTTTCTCGCAAAGACGTTCCCGTCGAATATCGGACATAATATGCATGATTACTCATCTAGGGAAAAAATAGCTCGTCCATAAGCAATTTCTGGTTAAAGGAAAAATAGGAAGAGGTCTATGAATGCAGTGTCTGTCTTTCGTTGACTTTTCCTACGAAAATGTAGAAATCCGACGACTGTCGTATTAATTGTTGCGTTCGCGCGTTTTTGTTGCAGTATTTGGAATCACTTGGTTCAAATCACGAAGGATGGTAACAAAACCGTGATCATAACTACTCATTACATCGAGGAAGCCAGACAGGCACACACGGTACGTCGAACTTGCGCAACGAAAACGGTGCGGAATAAAAATTATTCGGGACACCATGTCGATGCACACGTGGGAATACAAATCGCGATGCAACAGTGTCATTGGCAAACCAAATCGTCCGACGATTACGATAATATATCGCGTATTAAAATTGAGCAATCGGGGTGTTACCATTATAAAAAGTATTTCTAATATTGATTCGGTGCAATGTGACGGCAAGGTTGCAGCGGAAGCACACGATGACTCTTTAATGCGGTATCATGATCCGTCTCGTCGTCGTCGTTTATAGCTGATTCACTAGTGGATTATGTCTCACGGAAATTACGAGCTTGTTTGTTTTGTTACAACCCTCGATTACAGCTTTTAGACTGTTGGTAACATGAAATGAGATGCTTTTCGTTCCAAACGAATACCTTTGCATCTGTTATTAAATTAATCACGTTTTTCTTGCGAAGGAATAACGATAATTCTTACAACATTGCGTGTTTGCATTTTAAAATATGACTGATTAAATAAGCGAGAAATTATACAAACGCAAATTAGGTCTAGAGATATTCCGATAAATCGATAATGCTTTATGTCGATCTTAGAATGTCTGCTTTGTTCGTAGATTGGTTTGATGAGGAGCGGTCGATTGTTGGCCGAGGAATCACCCAGGGCTCTCCTGCAGATGTACAACTGCGCCTCCCTGGAAGAAGTCTTCTTGCAGCTCTCGCGAGTGCAAGGACAGTATGCTCAACCACCGATGGAATTAAATATCTCGAATAACATTAGCTTGGTAATAAACGGGGTCAATGAGCAATTATATCTAAGCAACTCATTGCATTCGGAATATTGACATATTGCGATTAAAATAGGCATCCTTGAATTGGGGCAAGAAGAACGAACCGGTGTACGTGACCGAGGAGTCAGGTGTCGTGGGGTTGAACTTCTATCAGAGCAAAGAAGTCCTCATCCATGATTCCACGAACGGGGTTGGAAACCACTACGATGTAAGACACCGAAAAGGTTTTCATACGTGAACAAGATTTTGTCTTTAGTCAAATTCTATGTTGCACGATTTTTGAAAGTAAAAATGTTTGGAAATCGCGTCCGGAATCTTGATGAATCTTTCTTGTTCGATTAAAGCAGATGAACGGGAGACCACTGTCGAGCCTCAAGAAGTCCTCGAAGTTGGGTTGCGACGACTGCAGTAGTTTCGCGGATTGCTACAAGTTTACGAACAAAGGGAAAATGAGAGCGCTCTTACAGAAGAATTTCTTGCGTATGTGGAGAAACGTAGGGTAAGAAGATCGTTTTGTTTAATTGTAACTATTATAATTTAGTGTTACTACTATTATAATTTAGTGTTACATATTTCTACGTATCTCCTATGTATAGGGTGATGCTGTTCATTTTCGCACTGCCAGTGATGCAAGTGATCCTCTTCTGTTTGGCAATCGGAAGAGATCCAACGGGATTGAAATTAGCGATAGTTAATCACGAAATGTTTTACGGAAACATGTCCTGTCCGGTAACGGACGATTGTAACTTCTCGCATCTCAGCTGTCGGTATTTGAAATTCTTGGATAACGAGACGATGACAAAGGTGAGTTATCTTCTTCGGAAAACACGATATTTCGGTAATGTTGAGAGTTACGGGAATCTCGCAGGAATATTACGAGGATCTTGACGCTGCTATGGGCGCGGTACGGGACGGAAACGCTTGGGGGACACTGTATTTCACCGAGAACTTCACGGATGCCCTTGTCGCCAGAATGGCGCTAGGAAGAGACGCCGACGAAGAGACGTTGGACCAGAGCGAGATCAGAGTGTGGTTAGACATGTCCAGTAAGTCTTCGAGTAGTTCTCGGCTGCCCTTCACAGCGAAATAAGACTTTAACGAATACCTCTCGTTATAGATCAACAGATAGGTCTGATGTTAGCCAGGAATCTTCAGTATTCGTACAGAGATTTTGCCAAAGATCTTTTGAAATCCTGCGAGCAGAATACGAAACTAGCCGACGTACCGATACAGTTTAAGGACCCCATTTACGGCACCGACGAACCCAGTTTCACCGACTTCGTGGCGCCAGGTGTCATTTTGACGTGAGTGAATCATCGATTTTTCGATAACGATATGAACGAGACTGTTCGGCGTATCGAGTAAAAGATCGGTAAACTATGCGTCGCGTAATTAAGCGTTTTTCTTCCACAGTATCGTCTTCTTCTTGGCAGTGGCTCTCACTTCCTCGGTTCTAATCATCGAAAGAATGGAGGGTCTACTGGATAGGAGTTGGGTAGCTGGTGTCACACCGGGAGAGATTCTCTTCTCGCACGTGGTTACGCAGTTTGTGGTGATGTGCGGTCAGACAGCGTTGGTGCTTATTTTCATGATTCTGGTATTCAACGTCGAGTGCAAAGGAGACATCGGTTGGGTGATCGTACTTACGATACTCCAGGGTCTTTGCGGCATGTGCTTCGGTAAGATTATAACTGTTGCATGAACGGAGGAACTTATATTACCTCCATTTTTGCCGAGTAAAAGTAACTTTTATGCAATAATCCAGTTAAAACTGGATCGGTTACGTAACTCGCACTTCTTTTAACGCAGATCTTTTTGCAATATCAATACCGTGGATGGAATATTTACTTCCGAGATAAACCACCGGCATCGACAAAGAGATTTTCATTCATATTTATTTTCGTCTTTTCAGGGTTTGTAATTTCAGCGATTTGCGAACTTGAAAGGAATGCGATACAACTGGCTCTGGGCAGTTTCTATCCTACATTGCTGCTGAGCGGTAATATTATATAAATACGTCCGATCGCCAAAAAAGCAACACGAAGAACACGGGAATCGAGTTCTGTCGGGCTGAAAAACATTTTCATAATAAATTCTGTCATCCGTGAATCACGGACATACGATAATCGTCGCGATTAAACGTCAAACGGTAAAAGTGAAAGTTATCGGTATCCTTAATTATGTACGCGACCAACACGCCGAAGCAGAATTATTTAAATTCAGTCACATCGAGTCCCCCAAAAGAGAAGCATATAAAAAGGAAAGAAATGAGAAAAAAAAAAACACCCGTCAACTTTCAGCATACGTGGAACTTGAACCACCGTTACCTAATTCGTTGCGTATTCATTCGACTTTGAAGAAATATTTTTCCTCGACTTCTATTTCTTCTTGTTGCTTTCTAAACCCTCGTTGGACGAATTAGCGCGTTGTCTACCGTAACGAAAGTTACACTTTTCAACATTAACTTTTCAGGCGTGATTTGGCCGGTAGAAGGTATGCCAACGGTCCTGCGTTACATATCTCAGTGTCTACCCCTGACGATGGCCACGACGTCGCTGCGTTCAATGTTGACCCGCGGATGGAGCATCGAAGAACCGGACGTGTACAACGGCTTTATATCAACGATCGTTTGGATAATCGCGTTCCTCACGATAAGCATACTGGTGCTCAAGTTCAAGCGCGGATAAAAAGTTGAATCGTGCTTGTCGCGTTCATGCTTTGGCAATCGCCACATGCGGAATAGAAAGTCAAGTTAGACACCGTTGTTTCTGCTCGAACTGTATCGGTCGATCATCTGTGGAAACTCGAAGCGGAGGGATCATCGTTTCGATAGCTCCTCAGGACGATCTCGTTGTTGCGCCATCCGTGCGTGGACCTCCAGATACATGTGATGCTTATTGTGCGCTTAGTGTATTCTTTCGCGTGTGAAGAGTAATTTGAATGGTTGTGTGCGATGCGTGTCTGATTTTTAGGAATTCTTTTACTTTCTTCCTCTTCTTTTTTTTTTCTTTCTATGTTAAGTTGACCGTCTGTAATATAACTTTTATCCACGGGGACGTACTTTGCCACGGATAATTTCTGCAGAAAGGATACGTCGTTTCGTTCCTCGAACATCGTGTATGGAGTAAGTACAGATTCGACGAAACGAGACGGTTGGTAATCGGTGTAATGTATCCTGGTAAATTTACTCCCCGAATGTAAATGGGATCGTGTGTAGTAAGTTGTTAAGTTAACGAGTAGCGGATTAGATTTTAGGACAGTCTTACTTGCCCATGACTTAAATGTATGTTTTATTTAACTTTAACGATCGCAAGCGCGACAGAGTAAGCAAGGATAATTCGTTTAAAGGAAACGAAGCGAGAGACTACCGTGAAAATACTGGTAAACTGTACATCTTGTAGGAAATTCTCGAAACTTTGTATAAAACATTACCGATTGTCGCAAGAATTTTAAAAATACGAATCCACGCCAGTGTGCAATATGATTTTTAGAACAGATCGAACATGTATCATATTGTAGTATACGAAGAATTATAATGATCACGTTTTACGTGTGGTCCATGTTCTGGATTATTCACGTTTTAAATATGTTCAGATACGTTTTTTTCACAGTCGAATTTCGATGTCTTAAACAAATTCTATCGAGGATACAGCAGAAAGTGTATAGAAGAGAAAAGGAAGATCAAAAACAATGTACATTTTCGTTTTCTCTAATTTTCCATATAAAAACATTTACAAAAGATACAAAACATCTTAATACCTGTCACGTCGTTCATTTTTAACCGCTGCAATCGCATATGCAATTCTCGTAATCACGAATTAGACTCAATTTGTGCTACTTAATCAACGTCAATTTATACTTTTCTTCCTCGGCAAACCATTCTCGATTGTCCTCAATGAGACGCTTCCAATACTCTGTAACGCGATTAAAACGATAGACTGCCTAGTTACTTTTGCCTACACCCACGTGCAACTCTCTTGGTTAAAAAACAAAGAAAGGAATAGCGCGTTAATAAATCTGTATAATTGTACGTACCGCTTAATTCTTTGACCGTGCTGCACGTGCCCCCGTACTCTGTTGGTAAAATGCTAATTGGCAGTGTTTCGTACAACTTGAGTTTGCCGCGGGAATGCACGTGTACCCTTTGTTTCAATTTCGAGTTCATGAAGCTTCTGAAAATGTTGAGTACCGTGTTCACGAATCTGTGAGCATTAATAAAGTTCAACGAGTGGATTCTAACAGGATAGCAACCCTGCCATGCGTGAACTAGATTCTTAATGACGCTCGGAGGTAATTGAAGAACGTGCTCGTACGTAACGCCACCTAGGTCCAAGATAGCTGTTATACCGTGGATTGTTACCGGTTCATGGTCTCGTAATGCTAGGTCCAGAGCCATCAGCGATGCCTAACGCGTAACAAATATAAATTAGTTCACTCTCGATTTCGGTACAATCGATATTTTATACTTTTGAAGTTGAAGGATCGCGTACTGTATCTATTCAATGAAGAATCTAGTCTATTTCGTTTGTTCATGCATTTTAATCTACCGCTGTCGTTTAGGTTGACAATGTAATTTGATGTTTTCGAACCTTCAACATGTCTGACATTTTGTGTTTACTGGGCGTGTGCGCAGCCGCGCGTATTATTACGACCATTCTTCCCTCGTTATCCAATTTTCTTAAAGGTAAAAGTACCCTGAAAAAAATTACGGTATGTTATTTCAATGGACAGGACGTGTCACAAGATCAATTGTGCAACGGTAGTTGTGCAAGTCCCGCGTTAAGAAGAAAGCAGAACAAATTAAAGAATTCATAAATAGTTCTACTTCAAATCATTCGGAAGTCTCCGACTTTGTCGAAGATACGCTATGTAAACATTTTAATTGATTCATCGAAAATTCGAACGAAGCACGTTCTCGGTTGCTAAGTTTAAACGAGAACTTATCGAACGCTGATATCGTATCAACGTCACCGCGATCTCGGGCTTTGTTAGGACAGAAGCGATTTGAACGTGACCAAGAGAGTCATCGATAACGATAATAAAATTATCGCGAATGTTTACGATTCTACAGAAATTTAAATTTAATCGATATATGTACGTATGTAAATTACGATCATTACCCAAGGTCAAAAAGTTCCTGCAACACTGGTAAAAACGGATCCCTGTTGCTATACCACTCAGGCAAGTTTGTTCTTTGCTTGTAATAATTACGCAACTTGGCTTTTGTTTTGTCCACGTTGAACTTACATGCTCTCAAAAAGCGTAGAATCGAGAAATCATCTATGAAAGAACTTCGATATTATAAAAATGCTAATTACGTTTGAAATCGACGACTATAAAATGTATACCGGTAGGTGCACGCAAATCTTCGTTTTCGAGGATCCACTCTCTTATTTCGGCGATTTTTATTGGTCTGATCTCATCAGTTTCATTCAAATATTCCGCCATGAAAGCTTTCTCCTCCGCCGAAACTTGACATATATATTCTTTCGGCGTCGACATTGCACTACTAAATATTCACTTCGTATCACTTTCCATTTATTGACAAAAACAGTAACAACTTCGTTTCATTTTTGATGAAAGAAGACTCGACTAATACTTTCGTAATCGATACGAAGAAGAAAGGATCGAAAAGTTATACTTCACGATCCACCGACACGAAACGACTGCAGGAACCTAAGAGATCTACAGCGCATGTACGAAATAAGTTGGAGACATCTGTCGCAACATTCGCAACAATTGTGGGAGCGATAAGCTTCGTTGCAGACATCGTTCACTTCAAATACCGACGTCGCTTCAATGGTTAATTTATACATAGATAAGATAGGATATCGTATTAATTAGAAAGACCGAATTTAACAAGTCGAAATTGTCGTACAAGTGTTTTTTTTATTTCGCACGATCCCGCGTTTGGAAAACGGAACAGTTGGTGTCATCTAGCGATGAATCACGAAAGTACCACGTAAGATCGTGAGGCTTCGTATCGTGACACGCTATATCGGCACGCGCTGTACGTTTTATGGAAAGCAAATACCAGCACGATATGTAACGGATACGAGTTGGCAAATAGGCTTCTAAAGTATATATCCTGAAAGCGTCTTAACAGCATCGTGGCAGAGCGCCAAGTAATTAAAAGAAACAAAACAAGTGCCATTCTAGTCGAGCTTAATCTTCGGGCAAAGCTAACTGGGATTAAACTGATAACTCATTTATCCGCTCTATTAGAGAACGAAACGATTAACCGAAGCTGCACAATTCGAGCAAAGTTGGACAGCGAAAAAGTATTATGATCCGTCGTTGAACGTATAAACTCCGAGCCGTAAAATCGCGGCTTACAGTTACTTTCTTCATGGCTTCCCTCGATCCTCGAGCAATCGATGAAAAAGTTCGCGCTTAAATGCAATTTTCAGCCTACTGTATCTCTGTTCCTGGTTCACCGGCAGGGTCCTAGTTAGCGCACTGAAAGTTTACGCTGCCTGGCTCCGGAGTTTACGCTGAAATTGCATTTCGCTCGGTGAGAATCGAGCCAAATGAGATTTGATTGCAAACCAACCAGCCCAACTAGAAGAGGCACGGCTGACAACGCGCGTTGCTCGTGCTTTACGAGAAGGACAACACCGTGATTTAGTCTACCTTCACGAACTTCCTTCTTTCCCGTTGAACATTCGGATTTTCTTCAGCTTTCGAGCAGCAACGTTGCGGACAACCGCGAAAAGTTTAGCAACGTTCGGAGTAATATTAAAATGAAACGAGGTCGACTCGTTTTCGCTAGGAAGTTCGTAAAACGCGCGATGAAGCGTGTACCGCCGCGAGATGCGTATGAACGCATTAAATCGTATTAATTTAATTAGACAATCGATGAATGTATGGCTAAGACCTGCAATTCGTTGGTATAATCAGCAGCAATTTGCTAATGAAATTATAGCGACTAGTGACAAGAAGGGTACCTTGTATCTCTGCTCAGCCAGAGCTTTGGTTTACGCAGGGGATAACTCGAGGAATGGGGAAGGAGAAAGAGCCGGTGGTGGTTGCTGGAAAGGATAGAAGGGGATCGAGGGTTGAGGAAGGGTATCTTGCGGAAATTCGATGCTAATGAAGGAAATTGCGTAGATGCCGAACCAGTATTTCCTCTATCTCTGTCTCCCTCTTTCTCTCTCGTCCTTCTCGTTCGCTAGCATTCACCTACGAAGCGGTAGTAACGAATTTCTCGTCGGTTCTCGCGTCTACGTAGCCGTGTCTCTGAGCTCGCTAATTTTCCATCTACTAACTCGCTATATACTAACTGTTACTTCCTTATACATATAATATCCTTAGTCGTTCGTATACTTTCATGGAACACCGTAATGTCTATATAACGGTGCTGCCAGGATATTCGACGCGAGGCAAATTATTAACGGTATAACGAAGTTTACGTGGTTCACATTCTGGATATTATATCGCGAAAATATACGGCTTCCTCTTCATCGAGAATTATACGCCACCGTTGTAAAATATTAAGATGTTTTTGGTTCCTCGTTAATTGGAACCGAAAGTATTATCGATCACTCGAAACGTTTTGTGGGATAATCGAAGAGCATAGAGAGAAATCCAGGGAAAGAGGATTATCACCCGATAGAATTTAGGGGTGAGCTTTGTAGCCGTCTTTCCACGTTATCTCTATCTCGTCAGAGATGTCTCCCTTATTTAAATGGGCTGCCAATGCGAGCAGGATCGGGGTGGAACGGTTTTCGGGGGTTGTGGCTTTGCCTTGCCCATTTTGAGGGTAGAATGGAAACAGGGCGAACGGAGTGGAGAACATCTTCGTGGAAACGTAATCGACGAATTATTTGCTTCTTTCAAGAATTTTCCTTTCTTCTCGGGCCGAGGAAATCCGCATTCTGTCTACGAGATATTCGAAGAAATACGCAACATATTCAATTTTCTCCCATTAAGGTCTTCTCTCGCGTTAGCCAGAAATTCTGTTGGAAGTTTACAAGTTTGGCAATTCCTAGAACTTAGTCGCGCGTTGGCTTATTCTTAACCGGTATTCCCGTGAACAATTTCCTGCGATGATATTTCTTCGGTCTCTGGTGCCGCTCGGAAATGAAAGTGTCCGCGCTGGGAATATTTAAAGACCGTCTGGGTGCGCGGTTGCCAGAAAATCAACGCTACCCATCGTTATGGAAGGGATCGGGGTAAATTCTTTTCCTGAGATTCGTTAAACTTTGACGTCCAACTTCCATAAATCTTAATTAATCGCTCGAGACTGCTTAATTTCCGTAACGGACACCCTACAAGTCCATAGAATTATGTGACTGTTCTGTATACAATTGTAACTTCTACGGTAACATATTGGATCTCCGCATGTACCGCGTGACTGGAATTAGTTATGTTATTGCTACGTCCAAGTTCGTGATAATAGAAAGAAAATTTCTTGATTCGCGTTAATAATCGACTTGGACGTTCCCTTTGTCGCGCGTCAACGCCATTATCTTCTCGACTTGACCCACCACTCGTTTCCAGGGCGTTCCCTTAACGATTTATTTCGTTCGCGTATTTGATTCGCGAGCGTCGACGTGTTTCGTTAAATTGCTCGCCAACCGGACGCACTCGCCCCATTCTTCTTCGTTATTTCGGGTCCGTCGATATTGTGCTAACAACGTGTACAGCTGGCGAAGGGGTGTGCCTGGTTCCGACTATGTATCCGCTACAATTACTGGAATGAAAGTTTGTTTACGTGACCCGGATACGTGTATCGGGACGGAGGCTGCAAAGAATGGCCCGTTCGTAATCGCTCGCAGGCTGGAATTCGGTTCATTCGAGACTCGGTTTCTATGGTGGTTCGAGCAGGGAAGAACGAAAAATAAAGATACATGGAAACAGAGATAAAAGGAAGGCTATGTTTCATCCTGGATTGGCCGCTGTATCAATCGGTCTGGTTATTTTCGACAGTCTAGATTCGAACACGGAGACAGGCAGAGGATGCATCGATAACGGTTTCGTCCGTTAGTTTCCGCAAATTCATTATGGCTCGCGCACGCTGTACACACGAACGGATAATTAAGGAAGAAAAACGCAAAGTTTTCGAATCGATTTCCGTGTTAGTGGTCCAAGAAGTTTCGTTACCAAGAACAGGCATTTACGGTGACTGGCGTTAATTACGATGGCAATTAGCGGTAGAACGGTGTCGTTATCAGCAAGCCAGTGGTAACTTTTTCCAGGATCGTATTTCCGTGGCTGGAGTCGCGAGCTCGCGATAACGGTCCAGTCAAAACAGTGCTCAGACTCGGTTACAGGGACTCTATATCATGGTCTCCTCGCGCACAGAAATACCGGCTACAAGTTTCGGGTAACAACGGGCGGAATCGGTGATCGATCAATCGGTCGATCAACATGTCGACTACAACTTGCTAGATTCCACGAAATGGAGGCAATTTAACGGATACAGACACACGGCGAGTCTACCGAACGATCAACCTCTCCCTCGTACGATACTCGATACTTCTCATTTCGAGAGGCGAGATCGACTATTTGCATGTTTATGGGCCGCTTTAGCCCGCAGCCAGTCTGTAAACGCGTACACGCGCTATTGCCTCTTGCTCGAAACGTGTTAGACAACGTTAATACCAAAGTACGAGGCTGGACCGGTGAAACTCGTAAAAACATCGAACGTCGGCCTTTTGCTAGAAACGTCGATAAATCTCGTCTGGTCGTAAGATAGGAGAGAAAGATCAGAGAGGAGCCTCTCTGACATTCAATTTTTCGCTGATCGTTCGCATTAATGCACCGGCTGCGCTAGACAGACTGCACACAGACCCGGTTGCATCCCAGAGAGCCTATCACACTTTCGATTTCCTCTTCCGACCTGTACCTTTGCCTTTGTCGTTTGCTCATCCGCAATGCCTACCGATTCGACGTATTGATCACTTCGCGACCACCGCAATCCTCCGATTCGACTATACTCTTTAACGGGTTAGTCGCTGTAACGAACGATCGATAGTCGATATTATAGATTTAGAAGTCTGTGCGTCGTTTTAAATCTTACGAATTATTTACGATTAGCGGGTCGGTCCATTTGCATTTCCATAGATGTCTATCCCCTTGGCAGAAAGATAGCTAAATGATTCAGAGTGGAAGTTAATCAACATGGAAAACCTTCGACCACCGTGGCAACCACGCAAAAGTTACAGTCAATCCCTGGGCAGGCGGGTGGTAAAAGTTACAGCAGCACAGGGCCGACTCTATTACCCTAACGAATCCATTAATTAAAAGTTAAATCGAGTGTATTTTCGTTCGTGTCCGCGCGACCACGTTTCGGTCCATTATTCACGGGGACCGATATTACTTTCACCCGTCCACCGAATTAATCCGTTCGTCCCTCGAGAAACTTGCGACTCTTCCTTCGGAAAGCGAAAAATCGAGATCGAAAATCTCGCACAAACTTTCGCAGCGAATATATCATCGCCTATTTAATCGATCCGATCGGATTTGCCTTTCCCTCCTATTAAGATATTATCGTTTCTCTAATTTCCATCTTAATTCTACGGTCCTGACTCGATTTAATTACTTGGCGAAATGCGAAATGTAGGTAATGTGAAACCACGGAGAGACATGCTACATTATCAGGAAACACGTACGACTTTCTCGCTGTTTGTACGAGCAGATTGTTCACGCAACTTTATTAATCCAAGCTTGCGTCTTTTCTCGCTCTCTCGTCCATTCTTTTCCGGATTCTATCTACGACGTCTAACCTTACCCGAGTATCGAGAAGCTTGCAGTTTATTGGTTCGTGACCAAGATCCAAAAGATCTACTAAGCGATTGGCTGTGGTATACTCGCAGAATTTTATCGACAGCCTTGAATCTTCATCGAGAGTGCTTTCAACAATATACTGCAAATAATCTTTTCTATCTTCTCGTCGAATAAAGGCAAAACCTTTCCTTACTCTCGTAAGTTTCGCTCGTTGTCCGACGCGTCAGATCACTGATCGAGTCCAACTACTAGCTACTACTGCGTAGTTCGAGAATGTTTCATACAGTAGTATGTTTTTCGTTGCGAAATCATTAACGCGTCGGCTACCGTAATCTGGGTCATCGGTGATTGATCACACAATTTTCTCATAATCCTCTGTATAACATTTAAATGGGAACGAAACATATGAAACCGTTATGAAGCATTAATATTATATTAACCGCGTAACGTGGCAAATGGGATGCTCGAATTAAAAATCGAATAATCATGATTATATCGTGCAATATCGTCCATGATGATTCGCTACGTGTTCCGATATTATTTGCTAAATAATAACTCGAAAATGGAAAAGAACTTCGTTACTTGACGATTCGGAGAGAGATAAAGACGATGTTTGAAACAGAAGCAGGAGAAACGGACGTAGCAGGATGTAACTGTTCTATCGGATAGTTACACGTTTGATCGAGAGCAAAACGAGACCTCGGGGCATTGCTTAGAACAACGTGATCGTAACAGATGCGAGGAACGCAGTCTTGTTTGCGCGTACACTCTTGTTTGCAGACTAAACATTGATTTTCACGGTCCTTCCGTCCAAGTAGAACGAACCCGACATATCCGCGCCATTTACAATTCTCGACGTCAACCGCGTCCTACCGAACCCATTACTCATTCGAAATTCAACAACTTTCTCCTGTTTCTTTTCGAATAAATGACCAAGAAATACAAAGAGGTATCTTGTTCCTTCGTAAAGGAAGCGAGAAAGAAAAGAATAATGTTACCCTTTCCATTATTCCGAAAGCGTTAAAGTGAAAGTTCCCGTGGCAGATATCCGCGTTAAGGGGATGGAAAGAGGATCTGGCAAGTCGGCAGCGGTAATATATGTTCGGGTAATTTTCCCGGCGATATTCTCCTGGATTTATGGGTTATTAATTTTATGAACCTCCGCGCTGCCTCGGGCCTCGAACAGGCCGCACGTGTTCCACTGACAATATCTCAATTACAGCGGACCAAGACGGCCGATCTTCCGCACGACCAGATCCACCTTACACGTTTTCTCCTATTATCGTCGTCTGCACGCTCTTCACGCTCAATTATCTTCCCGGCTTGAATCGCGGTTTTACCAGCCACTTCGCGAGAAACACGAAAGACACGATCTCGTGAACCGACACGACCGTAACCGTTCATTTTAATTGCTACACTGTCTGCGCTACCGGCTGGAACCAGTTACGCGATCGCGAGTCGTTTCAAACCTGACACGGAATTCTTGCTGCCTTTGAAATACCGGGGGAAATTAAATGACGAGGTACGACTCATTCGATTATAATCTCACGGCTGCGACACGTTGCGAACTTTCGAATATCCCGAATCTTGGTAAATGCAACTAAATATTCGATTTAGAAAACTTGGGAAGACAAGAACTTTAGAACGATATAACGATTATGTTCGTCGATGGAAACGTTTCTCCGTCGCGGTATTCCTATTTCATTAAGCTTCGAAGTGCAGTTAGGTAAATCCATGGGAAACGTTGAATCGCGTAGAGTAACTGGAAACCGGCAAACTTCCGTTCGTGTCTATTTTCTTTAAGTTCATCTAATAAAGCTACGTTTATCTGTCGGCGAAAGATCGACGAAAGTAAGATAAACACGGGTAACGATGTTCCAGACCGGGCGTCCGTAAGATAGCGTAACTATCTTTGTTTCTCTTTCCGGAGTCCAGACTTGATTAATTAAAAGCGTTAATATAATTAATCCGTGGCGGGTCTTTCGTCCGGAGAGATTCCTGCCGCGAGGAACGTCCGCTTGCTCGCTCGCTCGCTCGTCTGGAAACGTTTACGCGTTGAGGGTTGGTCTAACAAGTCAGAAGGCACATTCTGTTCCTTTGATTTCTCTCGTTAAACATTTGCATTGTCGAGTTTTCAAACTTCTCTTTCCTACAATCGACGATTGTACGGACGATTCAATGGACTTTAACGAGCGAAATGTGACTGCCCGTGAATTTTAATTCGTCGCCTGTCCGACATAGACAACAGCTTCGAGTATGGAGAATCGATGGTCAGGAGCGTATGTATTAAAGATAACTTTCAAACATACGTTAAACGCGTTTAAAAGTTCATTACGAATTGTTCGAAATAGAATAGAATTTTCGATAAAGTGGTCTTAAAATCTGTCCTGCGATTTTCCTACTCACGAGAGCGGCGTCGATTCGTCTGAAAGTCTCGTGAAATTTTGCCTCGTAAAGAACGCGGTTGATAAAATTGCAAGAAGCGGATCGTTGCGGAAAGAACGATATTAACGCGATTAACCTAACGCGAACGGATAAAGACAGGCATCGGTGAATAGGTCGAGCAGCGTTTGTGCAGCATCATTGCACTTGACTCGTCCTCGAGAGTCGAGGGTCGAGCAAAAGGGTGGCTTCCACCCTCTTATCTGACAGAGGGCTTTCGAGATCGTGTGCGACTCCTAGGCATTGTATTCCGGCTACCTTCCAGCAAACCGCACGACGTCCTTTATTTTCGGGTAATGTTGCGTGATAACAACCAACGCTGCTGTCGGCCGCACACCCCTCGGAATTGCTCCGTTGGGACGATTATTAATATTGTTGGTCGAGGGATCGGATCGTTAACGGGGAACAGTCCTGTCCAGCAGCTTCCGCTTGCTGATTTTTTCCGGGAATAACGAGCGCTGACACTGACACCTCGGTTTCACGAGAAAACAAAACGTCTCTCGAGTTTCTTCCGATAATTCTTACGCTTTTGTACCGCCTAACGAGCACGTTTGCATGTCGGTTTAGAATCGAAAGTTTGGATCGCTGTTGCATGTAGGTGTAGACGAATCGGGAGAAGAAAATGGACACTGTCAACGTTCCTGAAATAATAGCTACTTTATTAATTATACGAATACATCGTTCATCATCATACGTCACAAGTGAAAAATATTGTTCGAACGGATCTTTATCGACAGATTTTATTATGTAATATAAACTTATCGTGTTATACATTGCTACATGTTCTTGCTTAACGGCTAAACTCCTATCGGCTAGGTCCTTAGAGGCTAGAATGCACAGTGACTTGTACAGAATCATCCTCCTTTCTTTCTTTCTCCTTTCCTTCCTTCCCTCACTTTTGTCGCTCGTCTCTTTCTCTCTCTCTCTCTCCCTCCCTCTCTCCCATTGATTTGTCATTGTCCTCGTGAATTCTCTCACGCGCAAAATGGAGAATAGAGAAAGAGAGAAAGAAACGTTGGTCGTACGCGCACGATACAGGGATTGAACAGGGTCGAGAAGAAAAATGATAGACACCGGAGGACAATGAGAGGGCATGGGAGAGATTCGAGGCTGGAAAGGATGGTTCGAAGGAAGTTTCGAGGGAAGAGTAAAGAAGGTAGAAGCGGAAACAGAGGAGAAAGGATAAGATATACATTTACACGGGCGTTTCTTTGGTAACGTCTCCTCCTTGTTATCTCGCGCTTTTATTTCTTAGGCAAAGTACAGCTCTACTCCTTTTCTCTCTCTCTCTTTCTCTCTTTCACCGTGTCGTTGAAACTTTCGTTACGAAAGCGTCCCCTCGAGCGTTTAGTTTATAAAACGTTCATCCTTAATGCTGCTAAAACTGCGACGGCTTGTTCCTTCCTTTTCTCGGCAGAAAGGCCCATACCTTTCGTCCTCGCGTTATTGTTACCGCGAGAAATTTCACGATTCACCGGAACCAAACTTTTTGCTTCGTGGTTAAAAATGAACCCCGACGAGAGTCGCTTGCCTTTGTCTCTCAAAACAATCTTCGATCCTTCTGTTGTCTCTCGTATCCAATTAGAAATTTCGAATTGACATTGTTTTTCTTCTTTAATTAACGTCGGTTAAATATTATCTTGTACTCTCTTCGATTTTGATTCCTTCTCTATTTAACGTTCGAGAAGTGCTAAATTACTACGATAAAACTACTGATCGTTAACGATACAAACGCGGGAAAAGACAAGCCGTTGCGCCACAATACGAGCCTATTAGTTAACGAGTTACGATTAAACGTTAGTTGTTAATTATTATCGTTAAGGTTACGCCTAAGATATAATACACTCACCTAAGACGTATGTACCTGATGATATCTTTTTTCATTTTTTTTTTTCATTTTTTTTTTGTAAAAATTTCCCTATTACGCCACGAGAACGGACGATCGTAGCATCGGCGTCGGGAAAAGATCTTCCTTTCTTTCGGTTTGTAGATCTTCGCATGAATTCGACTGGTACGTTCTATCATCGTTTTACCTCTCTCTGATACCGTGCCCATCCGACGATTAATGGAAAGCCAAGCAGTTCGATACTTGTTTGTTTATTACGAGAAAGTTGTAAACGTGGCTCGAGTAAGAATATGAAGAGTCGATTTTTTAAAATAAAGATACTTCTTCGGAATGAAATTTTGAGTTTTTATTGTATTCGGCCAAGTCGAACGAACAGAACGAAATTGGGGGATCGAAATTTAACCGATCACAGGTGCACCGAATCGATATAAATGTTTTCGAGTTCGGGACAACTGGCGGGTACAAGTTGCGAGAAACGGCGAAGAAATGCAAAGCCAGTTTCCGGTCGAGGATATAGAGAGACCGTCGACTAAGTCTTCCTAAGACCGTCGATCGACACGCGAGCCATTCGTTGAGTTTCTTCGGCGAACTTTCTTATCCACCGGACTTCGTTCTTGTCCGTCACACGCCGATGAACACGGCCGCACGTACACGCTCGAGACCAATGGGTTAATTGCGTTCAACGCCTCAACCTCGGGGAATTGCCGGCAATTTTTCTAACCTTCGGAAAACTCTGTACCTCCATCGTTTCAGCCACGTGTTTCTTGCTTTTTTTTTCTTTCGTATCTGGCTAGCAGCGAATCGCTGGACCGTATACCCGCTTCGGTGAGAACTGGGACGCTCGTATCCGAGTTTTAGCGGATCTCGTACGGGAATTCGTTTTATCCGGGTAGGATAATCCGTAAACCGGTTCGAATTCTCGTCGAATCGCGACAAGCTTTATCCCGTTTCCGATTCGGCGAATCAGCGGATGACGAACGAGCTCCGCTTTTAACGTTCGATTCGAAAGATAATAGCTATATTAAAAATCTGTTCTTTGATCGTTCTACGGATGAACGCAGCGGATAAGACGAAACGCGACGCGTAGGCCAAAGTTTAGCGACGTCTTTTTAACCCTTTGAGCTTTTAGCGTTTAGATTTGTTGTTCGAAACGTGAAAAATTATTATCTTGATTTTGTAAACGAGTTTAGTGCCGAAGATTTTCTTATCAAACGGCATCGCCGTCGAAGGATTAACGCACTTGTTCGAACGAACCGAAAAAGTCCTGCCGCTCGCCACAGCTCATCGATTAGAACGAAGAAAAGTAACACTCCATAATCGCCGATCGACTAGTTCGACGAATTCGAACGTCTCCATCCATGCGAAATCTTTGGTGCTACGACTACGATAACGTTTATTGACGCGATCTCGGCGGACCATTAATGACGATCCACCGTGTTCGCCTAGGGATTTCCTCTAGATTCCCCTCGAGTCGAATCCTCTTTCTCTCGATCGCTTAAGGTAAATCGTCCGAGATTTCCGCTTCACCAACGACAACTACGACGACGACGAGGACGACGACTACCATTGATAGCTGTCCACGATGGATTTGCCGTCGGAACAGGGGCTCGCGCTACCGCACCACTTGGTCTCCTTCAACGGCGGACACGATGATCCGCCACGACGTGGCTTTATCGTTATCTTCCGCGTCCTCTGGGTCTCTCCTACGCCGCAACTGCGACTACAGGCACTCCACGGACCCCATTCACCGACCTTACAGTCCCTAGGAGCACCTGAAACGATCGAACGGGCATTATTACCAGCTCTGAAAGCAACCTCGGTTAAACGCAAGCCGGATTAAAAGGGCGAGACCTTAATCGCGGATCGATCGAATAAACCGTTCGACCGAGTTTACTGTGAGGAGGTTCGATTCTAGCTTCATCTGCTTATTATTCTAATTGGATTGTTCCGAAATGACAATTGTTTTCACGTGCAACGCCATCGTAGAAATCTTATTATACTCACGCGTTCTCATACGTTTCCCTTTGGACGTCAGTCTGTGGTGTTTCATCCTGAGCCTGTGTTGACGCTGGGCCGTGCTGTTGGTAGAGTTCCACGCGTGATTCAGACTATTTCCACTAGTCGCGTTAGCCATTTTCCTTTGAATATCTTCGAAGATTTGCGCTTTCTGCGCTTCCGCCGTTTGCTTGTATTTCTGGTAATAAGGCCAGCTAGTTTTTCCAATTTTCGGCGGAGGTGTTCCGGTGAACCTTGGCCTCTGCAAGGCGTACGAGGACGCGATGCTGTCCATGATCACTGCCTTGTTGTCGCGCGGAACATCTGTCACCACCTGGCCACTTCCGGTCGTTGTCCAGTACCTGGAACCACAGTCGATATCGCGGCAACGTAAATCAAATTATCGTGAACAGTTTCAATCTATTAGGCACGAATACGTACGAATAATTTCCAGTTAATATATTGATAATCGATCGTCGAACATAATTAAGTAGTCGACGAATACCGTGAACGGTGATTCGAGACGATGCTAAGCGTGGTTATACGACGAAAAGCGTAATCTCGAACAGCATTTGAATAACAAACAGAGAAATAGAACGATATTTGTACGTTCGATGCTTTATCCCATGAAAATGAGAAAAGTTTACAAACCTTTTCGATATTCTTGCATCGTAATCAAGCGTGAAACGTATTCAAATGTCCCTGTATTTGCAAACACTTTGGCATGGATCGGGACGCATCAGACGATGATCTCTACCTCCGCGTTCGGTTATTTTCCGAGGCAGAAAAATTATCCGCGCTCGTTCACGTAGCTCGTCGTTCAAATTCCTAGACAACCGAGTTCGTCGAGCCAAACTGCGTACCGCTCGAAAACAATTTCGAGAGTTGATTTACGGTTGCCGTGTCTACGAAGAACCGTCATGGCGTTGGAAAAATAGAGGAGGGAGAAGGGAACTAGTAGTCCGAAGCAAGGGATGGAAACGAGGAGGCCAGAGAGAACCGGAGAAAGATGGGGAAAGAGAAGACTCGCGTTTCGCTACGGAAACTTATTCATCCTGCTTTCTCCGCCCTAAGAATTTTCGATCTTCTCCTGTTTCTCGGTATTAGACGATGCTGGTCTTCGCCAGCTCGTGTTTCTCACGAATCCAACGTCGAACGTCTCCGGAAGAAACAGTTCTTTCCTCGAATAAACTGCGCGATTCCGAAAGATACGATAATTCGTTGAAATCCAAGGTTCAATATACTTTGTGTAAAATGTATTCGCGTAACGCGTAGAACAGAAGTAGTCGTCGAAGAAACGAGCTTAACGAGACATCAAGATAGTAATAAGATTCTTTTCTAATTTTCCGGAGTGACAGTTCCGTGTTCAACGAGTTTTGAATTTATTTCCTCCACATTTGCATGATTTCAATTTCCCTCGAACAATTATCTCGGTCCTCGTCAGGGTGCAGGGGCCATCGAATTAACCGTCATTCACCTGCCGCGAATTTTCTCTCCTAGTTTATTTTCCGCTCGCGACCCGTTCTCTCGACTCTCGAAAATAAGCAGAAATTCGCCTTGCAAGACGAAGCTCGTATCCAGTTGCGTCGCGTCGTCTCGACTCTCGAGGATCGATCGAGACGCGATTTTCTCGCTCGGCGAGTCGCGTCCCGACTCGATGATTACGGAAATGAATTTTTCAGACGACAAACATCGACGGGAACCGTATTCGAAGGAACGTGGCGTCGCGTGTTCGAGCAGAAAAAAACTTCACTTTACGCGTTCCCCTTATTATTAATGGGTTCGTTAATATTAAACATTTTTGTTACCGTCATACACCTGACACCGTCATCTAAACTCCGTCCCCATTTTCCATTTTTCTCTACGCACCGTATTCTCTCGTCGTGGGAGTTGAACTTTGCGCGGAACAAATTACGAACTTTCGTTTTAATTAACTTAATTTCTTGTAACGCGTGAACGAAATGAGAGGAAAGTTGCGGATGATCGACCTTTTAGTTGTAAGTTGGAAATTTGCTGCGTTTGTTGTCGCGCGAGCGGTAGAAAATATTTTAACCTATTCCGGAGTTCGCGTTTTCGAGAATCTAGAACTTAAGAAGTACCCGAGAGAAGTATGAGACTTAGCAGGAATCTAAAGCGTAGAGCAGCGATAGGCAGATGAAGTGGTCGCCGAAGAGTACCGTTACGACGCGGGCAGAGACGTTGGAGATTTCAAATTTTCCACTTTAGAAATTTGGGACGTTGGAAGTCGTGATCTTGACTCGCGGGTTAATTACCAGAGACATTAAATCGTGGCGGAGCTTCTGCTTTAATGTTGCATCTCTTAGAATTCGCGCAGAAAAAACAGGAGACTATCGACAATGGAGTTTTTGTGGCTTACGGTGGATCGTTAAAGCTTTGGAGCTCGAATCTTTTCAAAGGAACGTTAGGCAGCGATTCTTCCCTCGAAAAGAGAGCTTAAACCTGTGGGTTAGAGTGCTTCCTTTTTTCTCCGATCGTAATCGCACGACAGATTTTATTTCTCAACGGTCGTATGTTATGGCGCGAACGAAAGTGGCCAATATCTTGACGAAAAAACGTCGATATTCGATATCGCAACAGTTGAACGTTTAAACGGGAATCAATTAAGCGAAACGTCACTTTCGCGGGTTAATTGAAAATGTATTTACGAAAGCGCGTTATTATACGCAGGATTTGCAATTCAGAACGCTCATTAACGGGGAGAGAGAGACAATTTTAAAATGCAAATGCCCGGCGGTGACATAAATTCGTATCCGACAGTCGACGTAAATTCCAGGATTACCGGCCACTTCCTGGTCCAGTCGGTTCCGACTGCAGTTCGTGAAAAATGCACGATGCGTGCAAAAAATGCAATTAAACGATTCATACAGTATTGCGCGTTTCGAATAATAGACTACAAAAACGATCCAGAAAAAAAATGCAAGTATTCCTTGTAACGTTCGAATCGGGTTCGCGAAACGAAGATATCGATTCGATTCGCGAGCGATCGGGTCCCTTCGTAAAATTGGCGGGTACTTCGGATGCTTTCGAGAAAAGATCTTCACGGTGCTAGAATGATTGTCCCGCGATCCTTTGTGCTCGGAAAAGAATTTCCTTTTCATTATTATATCCGAAGGAGAAAGTGGGTCACTTCACTGAATAGGACATTGTACGAAGTATCATTCAATACAGTACCGTGGTTAGATAATAACAAACTTTCTTCGTTTCTTTATTACTGAATAAAATCACTCGAGTGCATGACGTCAATGGAAATGTTTACAAAGCCCTGTTTATTCAAATAAATAACTCGGTTGCCCGTTCGTTTGTTTAATTTTCACTGACCATATCGAAAGCACAACGCTCGTGTATCGCACAACGCGAATCAGTCGAACGGCATTGGAGATTCGAAAGCGCGATACATCGGATGCTCGATTTTAGTCGACGCGTACACGCAACTCCGTGAGTCGAGAAGCAAGATCAACGTTTGTTTTTCACGGCAATTCGGGTATGATCGAGATTGAAAATATCGTCAACGAAGGCGACGCGCGAACGACAAAATAAAAAATAAATTTCATTCGGCGGTGTTCCAATTTGGTTAAAAGTTTCGTGCCGGAAGCAACGTGTTTTACGCTTGTCGTTCCACCAAAAAACGGAGAGAGAAAGGACCAGTACGCGTATCGCGCTGTTTCTACTCCTCTCATCGAAACAATTGGCCGCTGTCGAGGCAAAAAAAAAGAAAATTTATCCGACCGATCGATACCGCTTTTTTCGATAACGTTTGCGGCACAATTCTCTTCGGTTTATCGAATCGAGTCGATCTAATTGCCAGATCTCTCCAGCCCTTCGTACTTGATTTTCGCTCGACAACTTTAGCGCTGGAAGTAAATGAATGACGGTAAAAATTGGTTAAACCATTGTTCGAGAAATCGATAATATTGTATCGAGAACGTCGTTAGAACGTTTATATCGAATCAACAACGCTCCGAAACTCGGAATTTCGATTCAAATCGAACGGTCAACTTCCAAGTGTCTTTGATCGTTTCGACGATGGTCCATCGATGTCTCGGCAACCATAATGTTATATTGTCTCCTCGATTCGATTCGACATAATGAAAGCGACCTTTCCCTTACGGGATCTTGATTAAATAGAAACTGCTGCTAGCTTTGGAGACGAACCGAGCGAATAGGACGAAGTAGAATTCGACGAAAGGAAGGAAAAGTATAAAGTAAAGGAAAAGTTGGGATGGGTTCGTTCGTTTCGAGACGATCATGTCGATGGACACCGGGCCATAGCCCGGATATTACAACGATAAGGGCACTCTACTTTGTCCGAGCGTATCATAGAAATTGCCACTGAGAATCGGGAAGTCCGCGGAAAGTAATATCGTTATCGGGCATCAGATGTCAAATGTATACACCGACCCAGGGGGAATCGGCGGCAGGAAACGTATTTGATTCGCGGTCACCGTTATTGCATTTTCATGAGATCCTGTTTTACGATAGATAAATAATATCGAAAAGCAAAGCGGACCAGATCGAAGTACGCGCCGCGTCAAACGCCCGGCTCGTGGCAGTCGAAGGGATCCGAAACAGGCTGGCGTAGATAACGAAAGAGCCGATTTCTAAAATCGGTATATCTAATTGTTCGATCGAAACGCGGTCGTTCGATTGTGCACGCGACAATGGTTGAAACCAAGTTGGAGAAATAGGTCACGTAACGGAGAGTTCGGCTCAGAAGCAGGAAGACATATTGAATGGACACTGGTGCATAAAAGACATCGAGATCTGGCAGGCTGAAAACTGTCCGACAATGTCCAGACGCGCGATGAAAGGAGTCGTGGAAATACTATAGAACGTCGTTCGGATGATTTTCTCGTGGCTTTTCCACGTCGGTCCTTCCAACATCCATCTTACGTTTTCGTTTCCTTTGAAAAAAATTGCCAGCCTCTTCAGACTTGTTCATACCATTACTAGATACCAACTTCGATCTCCTTTTCTCGCTCTATTTTCCTTTTTAACTTTTACGATCGAAACGACCGCTTCTTATAGAGGAAATTCATCTTTTCCTTTGCAACGACTTTGCGCAATACGAAAAGCACGCAACTTCGTTATTTTCCTATATTCTCGTGATCCCTGCATCAAAAGGATTCCGGAACTATTCCGGAGGTTTTTACCAATTTTTTCAAAGCTTCGACCGATTCTTTCTTCGGGGAATCAGGTCGCGTGCGGTTCTTTTCGCATAAAAATAGTTCTTTCGCGATTTCTGAAACACCCTCGCGTCGATATTCTAGCAATTCTGAGCGTAATTTTGCAATTTTCAAATTGTCCCTGGAGCTTCGATTCCCTCGGTCCGTTTTTCGTTCGCGTCGCTCGACAATCCGAGAAGAAGAATTCGATAAAAATAAAAGAAGAAAGCCTGCGAGGAATGTACCTGTATCTCTGAGTGTCCATTTCCTTCCGTTCCTCGGCGATAGCCTCGTTCAGGTCTCTGTTCGGATCAATCCCTCTGGGGGTCGGACTGTTCGCTAGTAGATTGTCGTTGCTGACGAACTCCACCTCGACGTCGTCTTCGTGATACGTTTCGGTTAACGTGTATTCCCGCAGCTGTAACAGAACGGCAACGTATTCCTTATTATACAACGTTTCCTTCGATCCTAACAATTAGATTTCGATAAAAATTCATCGTCTATCGTCGGCCGATAGCGACCGAACGAGGTAGAATTATCGAACGAAAGGTTCGCAGGCGCAATCGGTCACTTGACTTTGCAGTTCGTGATTAGTTCTGTCACGTAGAATCCCGTGGGAGGAACATCGACACGGTATCGACAGAGTCGCGATTGATCGGCGCTCGGGTCGGAGCAACGGAGAACGAGTCTTTTTCCGTCGAGTCTGCTCGTCGTCCGAGTCCTTTCTTCTTCGTCGACAACCGGATGACAGGCCTGCGTTGTCGGATGTGTAGCGAGAAAGTTCTCTATGGTTATCGCGTCGAAACCACGATCAAAGTCTCTTTGCCGGCGGAATCGTTAAGGGGATAAAAGCCGATACGCGTCTCTCCGGTACCTTTCAATATTTTTCTTTATCTTATCGGTCGCGTTACCGACCTCGTTCCATTTTCGACGGATGCAAAGGGCTTCCCGTTTCGCCAAACTTTAAACTGCCTCGAATATCTAACGGCTGGACATTTGCGAAGAAGAGAGCAGTCGTGGAATTATCGAAGAAACGGAAGTCGAAGATCAAACTTTCGTCGACGACTCTGTCCATTCTGTTCGTTGAGTAGATAAAAAGTTCGCGATCGAAACGACACATTGAACTTTATCGAAGCTAAAATTAACCGTATCGCATTCTATGATCCGTCGAGACGATAATTATACAGTGATAAGAGCTCGTTAAAAGTAGAAAAAGGATTAAATAGGGAGAAAGCAGTCCCTTTATCTGTTCGACGAGTTTTAGAGGGTAATACGATGACGGAGACCCAGCTTCCTCTAGAATCCACTCACCGTCGGGGCTTTGAAACTGGGCCGAGTGCTAATTAAGGTCTAATTAATTGTTTCACGTACGGTGGCAGCTTCCAATTATGGTTTCCAATCGATTATCCGCGTCTGCGGCAGGAGTACCGGTTCCTATCGAACACCGTCGAACAGATCAAGTAAAAAAAAGTCGTCCAACGAACACGAGCGAAAAAAGATGTACTCGAACAGACACCGTGGAAACGAGAGAGAAATAGAGACGATTAAAACGAGCACGAGGGAAGAAGATTGTTTTCCTTCCTCCTTAAATAAACCTTTTAAGATGATCTTCAATTAGTCGACGTTTCGAATTCGAGGATTAAGAATAATCTGTAATTAACACCGTTTCGGGAATGACGGTCGTCCGACTAATAAATTACGGAACGTGTATCTAACGCCAGGGTGTTATTGTGTCCACGGTTTAAACAGAAACAGTCGATTCGAAGGACAGAAGGGGTATAAAAATCGAACGGTACAAAGCCAGCGAAGTATAAATCTCTGGAATATTTACGAGCTGATATATTTACGCGTTTATTTGCTCGAGGCAGTATGGAACGGCAGGAGTTAAAGAGGAACGGCACGCCGAGGGCAAGGGATCAGTTGGCTTCGGGAGCTGTAAACGCAAATTTGGAAATTTTCTCCCCTCCGGTGTCCGTGCAAACGACATCTCCTCGTTCATTAACGTTTCATGTCGCGCCGAACCTAATCTACGGGAATATACAACGGCTACACAAAAACGGCCATGCAAAACCAACGGAACCCGATTGGACTACTGCAAAGGGATCGTTGTATTTACTCCCTTACAACTCGAACAACTCGCATAAATTTCGATGATCAGTTTTTGGGTCGATTCCTGGCCACCGGATTGACCCTTACGCGCGCTAGTTCCACCGAAGCTCGGTCAGCCGCTTTTTCAAGCTCCAACGAGCAACGGCCAGTGGTTGTTCTACCGTAATCTCAATTGTTTGTAGCCTGTATCGCGCGCAATTGTAAATGGCTACTGTATTTTGCAATGTTCTATCTTTGATTTATTGGCAATTTCGTTTTTGGACTTTCCAGATCGAACCCGAATCGAAGCTCGTGATCGACGCGACTAGTTTTTCGCTATTTCGTGAGTTGCGCGACTTTTAAATCCGTCAAATCGAATTGTTCGCACTGTCAGTTTTATCTTTTTAATTCGCCCGATGCTTCGACTAACGCGTACGGTTTATAGATTCGTTCGAAAACAAACATAGCAGATGCATCTACGGACGCTACTAAGTTGCAGGGTGGTTTTGCAGGAGCACGATTTTGCAAACGAAATGTCGCGACGGTTTGTTTTGCATCGTTATTCGTTAATTACAGTGGGATGTTTGTAATAAACGCGCAACACGCGATGCCCTTCGCCAGATGCATTGAAATTCGGTTACGACGATGTTTTATGCAACGGTACCGTTACTAAATCAAATTGTTCTCGCCATTCGTTTCAAATTATTTAGCACGAGAAACATCGTTAACGCGTTATCGTGTTCTTATTAAAGGGAATTGTTGTTGATATTTGCTTAATTTTATTCGCGCATTCTCTTCTTCGCGTTTTTTCGTTTTTCCACGAGCAACCATTTACCGGCAGTTTGGGAAACGGTTGCATTTGACCCGAAAACATCGCGGTGTTTTAGGAACTAGCGAAAGGGCGTGCGTGAATCAAGCACGCGGTTCGCAGCGACACGAGTTTCGGGAGTGTTATTACTTCCGGAACAGAGTCGTAACGGTGCGGTCGAGTTGCGTTTCTCGAAGCTGTGTCGACCAAGTTGCATGTGGTTGTATCGTGTGAACCTTGCTGTATCCCGAGAATTCAAAATTAGACGATGACGCACGAGCGTAACCCAAATCGAAACGTACACATTTTCTCTTCCCAAATTTTTCTTACCGAAAAGATCATCGATACCTTGTTTCTACTTCATGATTATTTTCAAATGTTCTATACGGCGGCTGCAACTTCGATCGCGAGGGAGACATGATAAAAGCGACTTATTTGCGGAAGAGAGAAGTTTGTAACGCGACCGACACGTTTTCGCGGTCTCCGGCTAATTGCATTATACTCTGTTTGTACGATTCGACGGGAAGCGAGGAGAAACTTTGCTAGTCCAGGTAAACAGCAGACAAACTGGAACAACTTGCGCGAACAAGCAACATTTTTTTTATTAATTGTTCGTAAACAACGGAAAACCGTAACATTCAATTTCGCGCTGTTAGCGCGTCAATAGCTAGTAAACAAATTTATCTACGTCGCATATCGCGTCGCGGCTGTCAATCGTAAAATTAACTCTTTGTACACGTTACTTGCCGCGAACGCTATGTTCCCATTATGCGAGGATAACGACGCTCGTTATCGTCGACGATAAATAACAGAACATTTTTACCGTTAATTAATGTAATCGAACGCGCGAACGGTGATCGATGAGTCGGTAATTCCGAGTAATTGATATAACGCGCACGAACTCGATTCGATTTAAATCTGTTTTGATAGGGATTTGATAGATGGTACTCGTATCGATTACAGCCTCATTATTGTTGTACCGTAGAAACTGCGATAGATTTTACGTTGATTCTAAAAAATTTCCTAACAGATATTTTAAGCGGCGTCACATTTTTCTCTCGACCTATTTTCGCGAGTAAAATCGCCGGCTGATCGCTTGTGGAGCAAACGCCGCCTAGCCAATTCCAAGAAACAGGATTTGATGATTTCGTGATAAAAATCGTTGGCGACTGAGAGAAATTCTAGCGAGAAAACCTGTATCATTTATTCTCGGGTTCCTTTTTTCGCGTTCGAGGTGGAAAAGGCAAGGGCGGCAGATCGAAATAAGTAGGAAAGAGCGGTGCAGGCGAGAGGACAAGCGTGCGAGAGGGAAATACAGAGAGGCACGTAGAGAAAACGTGCGCATGGCCAGCCTCTTCGATATTACTGGAGCGGCGTCGTGTATATCCGGGCGCCGGGTAATTTTCTCAGTCACGTAGGTAGCCAGGTATGTTTTGGTTGGTAATATCAGCCCCTACCGAGATCCGCCACTACCGGCAACCTTCATTCACGGCTATCTTTTCACTCGAGCCAACCAACCCTCTAGGCTTTTTTGTCCTCGTCGACTTTCGACGGAAAGACGAGCGCGTAACATTCCCGTCCCTAACGAAACGACGTCGCCTTTTGTCTTTCGATCCGATACATCGGATGAGATGACACCCTTCAGACAAAATATTCTTAGTTGTCGTTTAACGTTTCAAAACCGATCACGAGCAACGATTTAACCCTTTGCACTCGAAGGTAATTTTTTAAGTTACTTTTCAACTTAAGTTTAAAAGTTAAATGAATTCTTTTGAGCTCACTATTTCTTTACTAATAATTTCCACTATTGTTTGTTTCACTGTGTTTATACATCGCACGTGTCATATTATAGAACCAGTTAAAGAATGCTTATTTCAAATTATTGTATTAAATAAAATGGTGACCGAGAGTCGTCTTTCGAGCGCAAAGGGTTAATAAGTAGAAGAGGCACAAGAATAATATAAATTCCATAGTTAAATATTTTTATGCCGCCGTTCTCTGCCTCCATATTTTTTTTGTTCGGAAAACGACCGTAAAAGCGAAGGAACCACCGGGTCGAAAGTATAAATCCATGAAGAAACCGCGTGTCGTAAAAAGAATTTTTATATTTCATCCTCCTCGCGGCTGGTTCCTCCGGTTCATTTAGAAAACGACGTTGCATTAGCACAATCAAGGCCGCTTCCGCTCGTTTACATAATTCCCCTCTGCTTTTCCACGATGGATTTCCACTTTGAAAATGAATTTTCAGCGGAACGAACTTCCGAAGGATTTGTCTTACAGGGTCGTGTAAAAACTTTCGTCCACATCCGGGACAAACTCGAGAGCCGTTGGAGTCTCTTCGTATTTTATGCTCCTGTATATCTGGCTGCTGCAGACTTTATCGTTACAAATTTCCCAGAGTTTTATGATCCGATTTAAGTAGATCCTTCCGACAACGTCGTCTTACTTATCAAGTTACATGCTTCGGTGGAATATTTAAGAAAAGGGTAGCACGTTTCGTCGGTTCACAAACGAAATTGCCG